CGGTAACAGGGCTGTTCTTGCAATCACAGTGTGTCTATCCCTACGCTGGCACAATAGCGGGGCAGTGAGTGATCCATATCGATCCACACCGATCCACAACGGCCCACAACGCAGATTTTAACAAGGCAGCTGATTAGTCACAAATGCAGCCCCATTAAAACGTCGGGACCCTCTGGGCTCGCTTTCCCTCACTTTTTACTTGCCTCTGTCCATTTCTCACCAATCAATCCCCTCTCGGTCCACCACTTGTTAAAAAATTCATCGAATCAATTGGCCTTCCTTCCACGCTCTGTCTTTTTTCATCCAAACAGCTCCCAGAAAGTCTGTTTCTAAAACATCGAATCAAATTGAGCCTTTTCGGGTGCCCTGGTTTATAACTCTATACTGATCCCGTCCAACATTTATCCGCTCCGCATTATCTGGGCTGACAGGTTCCGCACTCAATCCTATCTGTCCAGTCATATTCTCTTGGTCACCTGAAAGATCCAGCATCCAGGTACAAAGACAAGCACAAACTGGAGCATATAGAACACAAAAATACAGCCAACCAGGAGCGACGCGCTACACCTCGCTATATATCAACTTTGTCTGCAACTATCTGCATAGCCGCCTGCCGACTCTGATACTCCTATTGTTAGGCAGTGCTGTCGGATTGACGCGAGGAGAGACTCTTATGCCCGCGACCGCAAGAGTCTACTGATACTTTTCACTCTGACAGGCTGCTCTCGTGTGTGTACACAAAGCACGTTGTGTTGTATACGACTTACATACAACTTGCACCGCGGCCAGAGCAAAGTGTCGCAAGACATCCTCAAGGTACGGCGCGTATTGTTTCCTCCGGCTACTATTTTCCCTCCTTTGTCCTCATAAGCATGAGACAAATTCCCGTGTCCCTTTGCGGTCTCTTATTCTTTTCTTAAAAATAATCTATAAGCCAATATCGAACGAGATATGTCCAAGAAACAATTCTAGCCAGTAAGCGCTTCAGCGCAAAAAAAGGCGACAAGAAATCCACTCGGATCCAGCAAATCATCGAGCTCTTCAATGCCTGCTATATAACTAACCCCTTCGCGAATAGATATAGAGGCCTATCACTGTCAACAAAACTAACTTCATTATTGTCATTGGCTCTATCTACTCATCAGGTGATTGATGCTATCTGCGGACAACAATTGTTAAGATTTCCTCGGCTCAATCAGAATACAATTACTGTCCTCGTAGCTCTCGCTTCTGAAAGCCTCCTCGGACGTGGGGAGATCTCAAGGCGCGATATTAATTCTTCGCCCTTTTCCCCTTGGTATGTTCCCCCCTACCTAGCCTACCTACCTACCTACCTACCTGTCTACCTACCTGTCTACCTTACCTACATCATACACCGTCTTCCACACCGGCTCGTGCTAGCTATCTAGCTTCCTCCTACACAAACAACTCTGAACCACCACAATCCCGGTATTATAGCTACACCCAGCTATTTTTGATCATATATTACGTTGTCGCAAGCTTACCCCAGAATGGTACATCGTTTCCTCTGCACCTGTTCATCAATATTCTTGTTCATTATTCCCTCTTAAGCATAGTAGCAACTGTCGCTCCGGTTCAATTCATATAATTGCTACCCGTTCATTTTTTCCCCTCTGGAATCAGTCTACTAACAATCCTTTTGCGACATAGGCGCGACTGGTCCCATCAGTCCGGCACCCTGCGTAGGTTGAACCCAAGTACTCGGGAACCTGCCAAAAAAAAAAAGGTATGTACAATATTCATGTATTTCGCACACTTACGCCGCCTGTCCCTTTATCCCCATCTACCCGTCTGCAACGATACATCCACACACCATTCTCACCGCAACCACACCCATCCCGTCTCTTTCCTACTGAGGGAAGGCTTGACGATCGGATATACCCTCTTCGAGTCGCAAACTCCTCCACCCAAGGCACCAACCATTCATTCTTGCGTAACTCGTCTCGGTCCTTTCCTTTTCCTTCCTCGTCCCTTTTTTCTCGCACACCTTTTTCTGTCCTTGGTGTGGCTAGCAATCCACTGCCTCTTCCTAAAAGAGCTACGTATATGTACGTTGCATGTGTTCGAGAAATGCATATGCTTCTTGGCCAATTGCCTATGATGCAGCCTTGGAATTTTCAACAACATCGCATAGAGCTTGGATAGCCTAGCTCCTATGGCGTAAGACGGGCTCTCTTCGCAAGCTCTGGCATCGGGCAGCCTTTGCCTTGCGCCACTTGCTGGGCAATGCGAGTTGGATCTCCTGTCGCTCTGTGTGAGCTGGTCGACAGGGTGGGGCCTAGTCTATGCATATTCCGTCATGCATGCCAGCGCATCAAGTGGTGGTCCAGCGCGAAAAAGGACGATTTCTCACCCCCTCCACCCCCCCTCTCATCATCCGAGCTTTCCTTATACTTAACAAGGCGAATCTAATGTCTAATGTCTTTGGTTGGATAGATCTCCACAACCAAACGGTCGTTACGAATAGGCCTCGAGAACAACCTTGAGCTGTTTAGCTAGGCTACCCGCTCCCGCAGAACTATTATCATAGGCTCATTGAATTGGATAGCCTCACAGCGGCTCACGTATCCCCCGGATTCTCACGTGGTTGTCGAGTTTCCTCTTTGTTAGGATCTGGAGCACTGATCCCACCCCGCGAGATACATTCGCTTTGCATATGCCCTGGTGCGACCGTCTGCGTGCACCTACCACATCACTCATTGCCAGCTCATCCGCGCATATCCAATAGATTGGATGCACATCCAGCCTACTTCGCGGCTACCTAAGTGATCAAGGGCTATCCCAACGCGTATGCCCAACTGTAGCCAACCTTACAGCCTTTTATCTCAAGGACATCAGGCAACCCAAGCCGAGCTTTGAGCACGGTCTTAATTTTCATCATCTCAGCAAAGAGCCTGTACCACTAGTATCTTCTAAGTGGCCAACGGATTTTTATTATTAGACCTACCCGCTTGTCTCTGATTCGCATCGCAAGAGGCATCGACGTTTGGGTTTTGCAAAATCCCTGCCGCCCCGCGCGTTACCTGTCCCCGATAATGATGGACTACGCGCAATACCAGCAACCACCACAGTCGGCGCATTCTGGTTACACAAATTCTGGTCCTGGGAACAACATCACGTCCCCAACGAGTCACAGCATACATCAACACGGCGTTCAGACTTCGCCAATCCTACCATCGCAACACCAAACCTCGACACCGGGACAAGGACACAACATGTACCAAACTCAGTATGGCGTGCCCCAGCAGGGAATGCACTACGGAGTACCCCAGATCCAAGCGGCTGCCATGGCCGCGACCGCTGCCGCTGCCGGTGGAACGGGCTATTCATCATACATGCCATCGGATCCTAGCCTCCCTCAAAATTCGCCGAGGATGACGTCCGGAGGGAAGAAAGACTCGCGCGACCCCCGATCACCTCAGCAGCTAAATAATGTGAATCAATTACCCGGACGACGACTGAGCCAGGTTACCAGCCCTGGTGTCCCGAGCGCGCCAATGATGAACCATACCGGCGGCCGTTCCGCCGTAGCACCCCCTCCAATGCCGCCGACACAATCCATGCCGCCGCCTCAATCACCCGAGATAGCTGCGGGTGCAGAAGAATCCCCATTATATGTCAATGCGAAGCAATTCCACCGCATCCTCAAGAGGAGAGTAGCCCGGCAGCGGTTAGAAGAAGCATTGCGCCTGACGAGTAAAGGAAGGAAACCTTACCTTCACGAGTCCCGGCATAATCATGCGATGCGAAGACCTCGAGGTCCCGGTGGGCGATTCTTAACTGCAGAAGAGGTGGCCGAGATTGAGAAGAATAGGTCCACGGGCGAGGACAAGGACGGCGGCGTGGGCGAGACAGCGCCTGTCAAAACCGGTTCTAAGAGGAAGTCCGACTCCAATTCCACGGCGCCGAATAAGAAAGCTAAGACGCAGCCGGTGACGCCTGATGATGAAGAAGACGATGACGCCGAAGATGATAGCTGAAAGAAGCTGCAAGCTACACGATACTTTGTTTTGTGAGCCGTTACGACGTTACGACATGCTCGATTCTTACTACTTATACCTTTCCATATCCGGTTTCGGGCGATGGGAGCATAGTAGGGGAGTCATTTTGCAGGGACAGTGTGCTGAATGGGACTGGTTTTCAGTGGCCGGTCGGCGCGGGCTGCTCTGCGACTCGCAGGTCTCGAAAGTTGACGAGTGGAACATGAATGGGGCGTCAGGACACTCGCTCTCGAATTTCCTAAACCATTTCTTCGTCGCCCACGCGATAATGCTTCATTCCCTTTTATTTTTATCTTATATCTTTTGTCTTTTTCAAATGCGATTGCATATTTGGCACATTCGGTGGGAAGGATACGGTCTAGGGAAGTCTGAACGGGAGGAAGATTGCATGGAATGAAATGAGACGAACGGATGGATACCCCCTTATTCGCCAGCTCTGGTTGCCGTTGATTTTATTTTTCCCTTCGTCTTCCTCTCTCAGTTCCCCTTTTTATTTAGTTCGTGTCTACTATTTTAGGGCGGAGTGTATTTTTGCTCGGACACGCACATATGTGGTCAGGCTACCAAAGATGCGTAAGGCGAAGGGGCGGCGTTGATTTCAAGAGACGACTCTGCAGAGGGAAAAAAAAAAGAAACAGAAAGCAAGAAATGATGGTCAACCCTGCCAAGATTGGAAGAAAAAAAAGGAATCTCGCTGGAACCTGGACCCCCACGCAGGGATGACGGGATGGACATAGATTTCCAATGGTAATCCGTCGCCGGATGACAGGAACAGAGACATAAGGAATACGAAGTATAACTTAAACTTCTATACGCTCATGTGTGTTACATTATTATGCGTAATAATGCCTTTTACGAGTTTAATTTGTTTGTTTTCATGTAATGCATAGTGATTTATTTGATTGTAGACAAGATCATATTTGTGTAAGAATTGCTGGTAAAAAAAAAAAAAAAGAAAGGAATGCAATGATTTTGAATGATGGGTTTAGTCACGTGACATTAAAGAGGACATTGCCCCATTTTTATTAATGCGTCTTTGAAGTGAGAGCTCTAGCAAATCAACCAAATCGGGCACCGCATTTACATCAAACTACGGTGCAGCATTCGGATTTTCAGACTCTCACCTAACTCTAGACTAACCCTAGAGGATTCAACAAATCGCCAAGATGCTATTCTTTAGGTACGTTCTTAAGTCTCTTCATTTTCATCGTAATCCCGCGGTTTAGAAAGCAAGTTTCCCCGACCGAAGATATCCCGTTTTCCCTACGAAGTTGGGGTGTGATGCAGCGGCGTTGTCAAAATGCCAGAGCTGCTACTCTGCAATGCGGTCGCGCTGGGGACTTAGCTGGTCTTGTTGACGGTTCCTGTTTCATACCTGGGAGTAAGCGATGCTTCTCGTGCCTCGTCACGTGAATTGTTCACGAATTGGGAGAGAGGGTGGAAGAGAGATAGATAGGGGGGTAATGGGGGTAACATGCAAAGAAAGAAAAGAAACGCAGGAGGTATGAAGGGCTAACTTGGGCACGGGATAGCTTCTTCAAGACGCTCATTGACCACGAGGTGACGGTCGAGCTCAAGAACGACATCCAGATCCGAGGCACGCTGAAGAGCGTCGATCAGTACCTCAATATCAAGCTGGATGACATACAGGTTGTCGAGGAGATCAAGTACCCGCACCTGGTGAGTTCAACCCGGTCCATGCGCTTATATTCCCTTCCCTTCCCTCTCCTCCCCTCCCCTCTCCCTTCTAGCATCCTAACTAACAGTGGATGCAGAGCTCCGTTAAGAACGTCTTCATCCGAGGCTCGGTCGTGCGCTACGTCCATCTCCCTGCCGCAGCCGTAGACGTACCGCTTTTGGAGGACGCAACGAGAAGAGGTTCGTGGTTGCCCTAGCTCAGCCCTTATTGCATTTTATCATCGAATTAAATAGTAAAACACTGCTTGTCTTTTCTTCTTCTTTTCTTCTGTCCTTTTTTCCTGATGTACCATACCGACGGGTAAGAACTAAAACCGGGCGGCTAACAACCATCGCAGAAGCCGCGCAGCAAGCCGGTAAGGGGAAATGAGCAGATGGCACTCGGGGAATCTAGGACAGACCAGGCCTAGTCAACAAAATGAAAATACGGCAATACGATACGGGTTGGTTAGCAAGAATCCCGCTGTCAATATTAGCAGGCGAGACCGAAGGCGTATTATTGACATGCATAGCACAGAAGACGCGGGGGAATGAACGGGTATGTACTTTCGCCGGTTCCAGCATGAAGGAGGAAAACGGAACCAGGTAAAGCCGTCGGAAGACCTGGAAAGAAATAATTAGTGTCGTTATGATACCACGAATATGGATGGAGATGAGCCCGTATAGATTGGTGACTATTATAATCCTCTAATTCTGCCTCGTGATCCCAACCCAGTGCCCTGAACTGCTCGAGTGTGAAAGATATTCAGGCTAATAAATTATCAAGAGTCATGGCAATCGCATAATATCCTAACAGCACCCCAAAAGGCGAACCGATACTATGCATATATTATCTACCAACCTTAGGTGCCTACCACCAAACACCAGCCCCCTTTCCATCCCTTCCATCCCAGAGCTCAACCCCCTTCCTCTCCTCCTTTTCCATCTCCCCATCCCCACCCCCCTCCTCCAAAACCCTAACAACGCCCCCCTTCCTCCTCTCCCCAAGCCACCTATCAATCCACCCCTTCATCCGCCTCCGCCCCAGCTCGCTCCCCACATTCACGGTCGGCACGACTTTCTCCACGCGCAGCGCCATCAGAAACAGCGCCAGCTCGCGGAAACTGCTGTGCTCCGAGTACGGCACGCCGAAGCACATAGCCTCGCGGGTGCTCCCGCGCTGGGCCGCGAGATCCGCAAGCTTGAAGCGCGGACGCCAGGCCGGGCCGTGGAGGAGCGTGGTAGTAGGCACGCTGGCGGGGGAGGCGTTAGCAGTAGTAGTGTTTTTTGCAGCGCCCGCGGGCCGGTAGTTCCAGCCGCTAGGACGAAACCCGACGATGCGCGAGAAGTGCGGCTTGTACCCGTCGAGGTACTCCTGCAGCGTCTCGGCGCGGATCTCCATCAGCATCTGCATGTGCACCTGCGCTTCGAGCGGGTCGCTCGTCATGAGCGCCGCGAGCTCCGGGTCGCCTAGCTGAGAGCAGATTTTGATCTTGGCTGGCGATGCGAAGATCTTGGTCCCTAGCGTTTGTGCGATGGCCTTGCATATGCGCTCTTTGCCGATGGAGTAGGTGCCGCAGATGACGAGGAGACGGTTCTTTTGAGAGTTGCTTTCTGTTTTGGTGGCGGACGACGAACTCTTATCTTCCTTCTTGAAGAATTTGCTGACTTTGCCTTTTTCTGGCTTTAACGCATCTAGTATTTCAGCCGTATCACTGTTCTCGTCAGATATCAACTTGCAGAATTCAGCACAGGTTGAAACAACGTCGTCTTGTGGAGGGAAGGAGTAGCGAGGGTTGAGATATGTCGTATCTAGGTAGCAGACATCAATCTTCTGTTGTTTGACTTTGCCAGAGACGGTATCGACCATCTCGGGCCTCAGTAGTGAATGGCTGACGTGTGCTGGACAAGCCCGAAAGTCGCCGCAGTGTAGAATCCGTTGCTTTCTCGGATTAGGCCCTTTCCCAATGGTCTTTTCGAAGAGAAACAACGAACTACCCGGACAATGGTTGGCTGGTATCATGGTGACTGTTACCCCCTCGGTTCCCGGAACCTCAACTGTCTCGTCAAACTCTAGCTCTACTACCCACTTCGCCGCAGTTCGAAGTTGGTTCTTCACGAGACTCCCCGTGACCTTGCTGCAGTATATAGGTCCGTGGGACCAATTAGCCGTTAGGCCAATGTAGTGATCGCTATGAAAGTGACTAAGAAAGTAGGCATTGCAGCCTTTCACAGCGCCGTATCGAAAGGCATCAACACAGATAGAGAATCCAGGCATGATCTTATAGAAGGGACATGTTCGCTTGTATGCGGGTTTGCCACGGGACGCGTGTTCTGCAGCCGCGGCCGAAGCCCATGCCGCATCTTCGGCGTGTCCCGACATCAACTTGCTGAAAGCCGAAGTAGGTTTGGTTGCCGTGCTTCCGATACTGATCGGGTTGACTTGGCCCGGCCGCGGTACGGCGGCTTTAGCAAACCGCTTGCTGATCTCGGGTGCATCTACCGTTTCCGAAGGCGTTTGGTCTTCTGGCTTCGGCTTCGGCTTCGGCTTCGGAATGGGTATCGGGTTACCATCCAGACATGCATTTACGTGGACTGTTGCTTGATCCGGAGTAATACCCGCTAGATTTGCATTACACAACGGACAGCATTCTACGATTCCTTCGGATTCCTGAAATTCGCCCACAACGCCATCGGAAGTATAGTTTCCTGCCTCTTCAGCTTCGAGTCGCGCCTGTTCTTCCATATAACGCCTTTCCCGGAATTCTTCGCCGTCGGCATACTCCTCAACGTCGTCAAATAGCCCTTCAACATCCTCAAGGTCTTTAAATTCTTCATATACAGACTCCCCCTGATTAAGGGGTGGAATGTCGGGGGCTACATCTAATTCTGCTGTTTCATTTTTTATTTCGGGTGTGGCAACAGCTGCCTCAGTATCCATAGTATCTTTCAATGGCGAGGACTCTATATCATCGTCTTCGCTATCGGAATCGATTAAAAACGGAACTTTTCTTCGAGCTTGCTTTGTAACCGTCCGTTCTAATACCGTTGACTTCGGTTGATCAGATTCTTCACTCTGCGTGCTCTCCGAGCTTTGCGGTATGCTCTCGTTTCCATCATGGCTCAGTTTTCTCCGTTTAGGAGATCTCACCTCCTTTTCAGCGTCCTGGGGTATGCCCCCATCCCCAAATAGATCCTCGTCGATCTTCGGTAACGGCGGCGCAACGTTGGGTATAAAAGCAGATGTATTCGCAGGGCCGGCGCAGAAAAGCTGTTCCTCTACTTCAACTTTCTGGAAGAAATTGAGTATATTCCCGTTTGCTGGTGGCTTTTTCTTCCCAATCGGTGTCTTTCCACCCTTGCCGTTCGCCGCAGAGCCGAAGTTTAGCTTTGACTGCTTTCGAGGGGTCATTGACTTTGTCGAAGCGGACATGGCGAGGAAGAATTTAGTGCAGATTTTGCGCAATCGAACATATTACGGGTTCGTCTACGCTGACAGTGTCGCAAGTTCGAAATATGAAAGCTTCATAGTCAATTTGTTAGATAAATAGATGAGGTTGTAGATTTCTTTGGGGGGATGATTATAGGCACTAAAAAGTGCTAAAGGTGCTAAAAGTGCTAAAAGAAATGTTGCCCCTCGGTCGGTTTACAGCAGATATGTAGGTACATTAGGTATTGTACTTACGAGTAATGACACCCACTTTTGACGCGACCGAAGGGACTCACTTACGCGGTGTCACTTGACAATTACGCTTACTGGGTTTGGGTGTATGTACCTTAACCTGGTTCTCTTCTACGTATTTTTTTATTAGTACAAGTGAGAATAGATTTTAATTTCACAGCCTCGAATAACACATTTAACAAAGATAAATATATATCATAATTGGAATACGGAATAGTTATCAAATCAATTCTTCCGCCTGTAACGCCATGCTATCGATCATCCGACGGTATCGAGAATCATACATGAGCTCATTTAGCCCTCACTCTATGGACCTGTCATCCCAATTCCACTCTAAACATATACAGAATATTATTTACCCGAATTCAAAGCTAAGTGCATCTAAGTGCATCCATTTAGCTTGACGAAGAATCCTTGGGGCTCTTTTCGTTCAGAGTTTGCTCTTCTATCGTATCGTTGGGCGCGCCCTTCGAATTGGAAGGCAACGACCGATCTACCCCTTTTTCATGCTTCAGCGAGTTGACACTACTAGGGCCGTGACCTTTGAAGTAGTTGTAGATCTCGTGAGTGTAGTCCTCGTCGTCATCAACCGGAACCGCAGACTCCGAATCGCTACCAGCTCTGACGGCCTCTCTCTCTTCCCAGTCGGCGCGCATGTCCCTAATCTTGGCCTTCATGTCCAGGTCGGGGTGATAGTTCTTTCCGACACCAGTCCATCTCTCCCAGAGCGAAAGATGCTGAGGGTGGATGGCAATGCCGTGGTACTCGTTCTCGCGGCCATCGAGGATATATTGCCACCGGCGCTCCTGCTCCTTGAGATCAAGACCAGTTGTATCGGGGAGCCAAAGTAACGTAATGAGCATGCCAGCAAGACCAAACCAGGGAACGACGTAGAACTTAGTTCGGGTATCGATATAGTTATATAGCACAGAAGCCAAGAGAGCACCGGCCTTTCCAATCATGGCCGAAAACCCGTGGGCGCTGGCTCGAATCTGAGTGGGGAAAACCTCTCCGGCGACGAGGAAGGTAACCGAGTTGGGGCCGAACTGATTAAAGAAGGACGATAGGAAGTACATGGCCTGGAAAGCGTGAATCCCCGCGGGGCTGCTGTAGTAGTCGTAGTGAAACGCCGGAACCACGAACATGACGAAGCACATCAGGAAACCAACCTGGGTAAATGTTAGTGGCACATACGAAGACGGGGAAATAGCTGATAAGACTAACCTGTTGCATAGTTTTTCTACCATACATTTTGTTGTCAATCAGCATGGACGCAGCGTAGTAGCCAGCAAGCGAAACGACAACGTTGACCAAGTTCCACGTCCACGTGGTCATGATCGATTCGGGGTTATCAGAGATAACTTTGATAAATTGACCTGAAACCATGTAAGCTTATGCGGTCAGAGAGTCAGGTTCATGTGGGTTCTTACTTTGGAAGAGCTTGTTGCCATAGAAGAACACGTCGTTACAAAACCACCCACCGGCAGTGGCTAGTAGACGTCCGCCGAAGTTACCGATTGTCAACTTGAGAGATCGAACGTCGTATCCCGTCACGTTTGACTTCTTCTTGGCCGCCTCCAACTGCTTGCTAGCAGACTTCATTTTCCAAGTACGGTAGTAGGCCAACCACAAAGTGCCGATAGCTGGGAAAGCAAAGGACAAGCGGAAGGCATACTGAGCGGCAGTTGTGGAATAGGGGGCGTTACCGCTACCGCGGTTGAAAATCACCAATAGAACAATGAGCACAACTTGGTTGACAAACTGGCCCCAGCCTTGCATCAAAAATGCCATCGTAACTTTGCGACCGCGGTGGAGACGATCATCTCTGGTGGATAATCTGCCGGCAGTAACAGCATTTTCCATGGACGATGTGGCCGTGATGGGGTATTCACCACCAACTCCGATACCTAGCGTCGCGTGTGTTAGTCCTCACGATATCTAAAGGGCGCGCAAATTGCAGGTCCGAGCTTCCTTACCGTAAACAAATAGGGACCATGCGTACATGATAACCCAACCTTGGAGTGTCGTACCCCAAGATCCGGTCAACATGAGAAGACCGAGTAGCATAACCAAGGCGTCTTGTATCAAACCCCATCTTCGGCCAACCCAATCGCCAATGATCTATTAAAAGAAGCTGTTAGTAACATTCCTCCATTTTAGTCCATGAGGATTTGATGAAAAAGACAGATCTTACCCCGACAAAGACTTGGCCGACCATGATACCAATGATCTCGAGGTAGGTCACAGCGGCCACCCAATTCTTAGTACACTGAGTACCCGCCTTGCCCCAGCAGGTTCCCCACACGCTCTCAAAGAGAGGCTCTAGATTTCCGATGGAGAAGAGAACGTAGCCTTCTAAGCCCAGTCCGGCACCGGGTAAGATGGCGTTCCGGAAGTACCAAGAGACCGGGCTGAGAGGATCTTCTTTGATCATAGCCCATATGTTTCTTGCTTCTTGGGCGCTTTCCGCTCGGTCGACACTGCTAACGAAAGACCAGCGCTTCCAGAAGGGTAAGTCGGCCCAGTAGACGCCATCGGTCGTATACGAGTCGTCAGGGTGGGTTAGATGCGAGAAGATTTGCCTCTCGTAATCGGTGGCATAGCTAGCAGAAGCCCGCCGAGGGTAGTGCTGATGCTCATCACCAGTCTCGGGTCCGTGAGGCACGGGTATTTCTCCTATCGGGGGATCATGTTCGTGATGGCGGCGAAGCAAATTCGCCATGGCTTAACGGATAGGGATGCGGAGAAGAAAGGAAGGGGAGAGAGAAGGTGTCCCGAAGGTATTAGACACTCGGCAAAGTATATTCTATTAGAATTTTGTTATAAGGTTGGCGTGACGAGGTTGCGCCGTCTTGGCTTTAAGGGAATTGGTGAAGAAGAAAAGGGTCTGTTAAAACAGACACGCGACTAGTAAAGTTTGTGTAGCGTTTCCCCAGATGTACGTATCAGGGTACAGGATAGGTAGCAACTTGAGCACGAATATAGTGAGGTAGTGATATGGTGTAGTTGCAAAAATGGAAGAAGCAAAAGTTATGGCTTCTGGGAGGAGGAGAACGGCCAAGCCCACAGTTATATAAAATAGGAACGACGAGTTATTAAGCAAGAAAAATTGCTACAAAGTAACCGTGGCGAGCTACCTCATGAAGAGCTATGTTTCAATCGATTAGAGATGTTACGATTCGGTAGAGACTAATAGCACTAGGTTAGGTCAGTGGATTTACATGGTAGAACTGGACAGGCTAGGTAGAGTAGGTGGACTATGGATGCGGGACTGGGCACGATGGAGATGCTTGGCTTCTGGCTGGCAAGCTGCAATCCCTCGTAGTCCCCCGCAAAGCTGTACTACATACATACCTACCTGCCTACCTATGTATATATGTAGGTATAAGGGACCGAACCTCTTCTTTATGTACTATACGGGTCTAGCATCCTCTTGGCGATGGGGCTGCATCGCCTGCGTCAGCGGCCCTTAAGACAAGTCGAATATGTGTGTACATCAGTACGGATTGCATGACTTCACTGTAGGCACGCGAGCGACAAAAACAGGATACAGATGGAGAGAATCCATAGGTTCCTTCTCCTACGAAGCTTTCAAGAGCAAACCAATGTCAGCCCGTAATAGGCCACACGTGTAGGTAATGTATAATCATGATATAGGTACATAGAAAGTGATTGTTGAACGTAATCTTAAAGTGGCAGCTGGAACAGCGATGGGATTTTCATTCGTTGACGTAAAAGGAAGCGAGGGTACGCCTCGCAAAAGATGCTCGGGCAGTCAGGATACAGGAACTATCAGGATAGTGGACCTATGTACGGATCCGTAGATGTTAGCTCGAAAAAGATATCTCTGGATCTCGAGGCGACGATAGATGAACCAATCAGAAACAAGAATTGGACCACGTTTCTTTCCTAGGCCAGATGATTCGGCAGAAGTCCCTGCAAGACGCTAAGGAAAGTGACATGCTCCCGACGGGAATAAGTACCAGCGCTTAGAAAATAGGCTTGTCCGGTACACGAGGTGTAGACAGGGGTATATGCGGGCCGAAGTTCACTCTAGATGTTATGGACAGGGATGATCCAAGAGGGTGACGGTGACCGAATGCGCTGGACCTGCCGAGGAAGATTCTGTAAGAGCGACATTAGGTACCTAAGGTACATACCTACCACTAAGCCGAGCCCCCTCCGGTTCTAGCAAGAAACTTAACTTAAGAGTTGTATGTTGCTAAGCTAAGCTTTTCCTCGGCGCTGCAAGTAGGCTGCAAGTAGGCTGCAAGAACGCTGCAACAAACATCGCCAAGTTGCTAGGCGAACACCTCGAGAGTCTCGACCACAAGGGACTTTACCCGAATTCGCAAGTGGTCGTGTGATCTCTTGCAATTTCTGTCACAACCGCAGTTAGCTATGCTTGCGCGCCGAGGTATTCGCCTTGTTCATGTCGGTGTTTGTCGGGTTGTTTCGTTTATGACAGTTTGGAGTAATGTCACGACATTGAACCAAAAACAACATTGGCACATTGGCACATTGGCAGATACATAGGGTCCCCCGCCCTCAGATAGTGGAGTCTCTCAGTTCCTTTTTCTCATACGACAACTGGTGATGAGCATTGCTAAGCTTACCTACTAGTTGCAATTGATAGTCGGTATTCTCAATTCGCTTACTGGTGATGTTGAGGCGTCAGCTTGTGGTCAGGTACAGATGTAACTTTGGGGGTTGCAACATGAGGTGGGTCTTGCTGTCTGTGTAAAGTTGCTTATCGATAAAGAGTTAAGATTTAAGACTTAAGATTTAATTGACGGCACGTGAACACGGGTTGGCACCTTTCGCGATCAGACGCGCTGTCAGACCCCAATCTCGGTATGTAACAGATGAGATAGCAATTCCAGTACACTTCCATTCATCCCCTATTTACATGTCGTGATTCCACGAGAATATAAGAGTTATTTGCACCTATACATGCCCACTCACCTTGATTTCTACTCGTAAAATCAATAAACCCATGCGCAATGCCTCCTCGCCAGTCATCTCGGCTCAAGAAGGCCATTGCGGATACTGCCGCCAATGTCAGCGCCCCTACTAACCGGACATCAAAAGCCAAGGCTACGAAGTCTAAAGCCACCGAAGAAGACATTAAGGACGAGTCAACTGCTGTTATCGAGGAGCCCAAGTCCTCTAAGAAGCGAAAGGCAGATAAGATCGAAGACGAGGAAGAGGACCAGGTCGAGGACGAGCCCGTCGCCGAGAAACCTAAAGCCGGAAAGAAGCTCAAGACTGCTACCAAGACAAAGACTGAAGACCTAATGGCTCTCGCCAAGCGCACTATAATCGATACCCTTAAGAAGTCTATGTACATTGGCGCACACGTCAGTAGCGCAGGAGGTTTGTGATAACTCAAGCCCTTAACTATTCCCTTAACTATTATATCTCATTCCAAGCTCACATCTGTCTCTCAAGGCGTACATAACTCCATCAACAACGCCGCCCACATCGGCGCCAATGCCTTTGCTCTATTCCTCAAGTCCCAGCGCAAATGGGCCAACCCTCCCATAGCGCCCGAAGCTCTCGGTAGCTTCCAATCCTTGTCAAAGCAGCACAAGTTTGAAGTCCACAAGCATTGTCTTCCGCACGGCTCATATCTCGTGAATCTTGCCCAGGCAAAAGAGGAGAAGGCCGACCAGGCGTATAGTTCGTTTCTGGATGATCTGAAACGCTGCGAGTCGCTTGGCATCAAGCTGTATAACTTCCATCCGGGGAATACCAATGGCAATTCGAGATCTGAGGCTATCGGTAGGATTGCGACGCAGCTGAACAAGGCACATAAGGCGACGAGCACCGTTATAACTGTGTTGGAGAATATGGCTGGACAGGGCAACGTCATCGGTTGCAAGTTCGAAGACCTGCGAGATATTATTGAGCTTGTAGAGGATAAGAGTCGTGTTGGAGTTTGTATAGATACGGTAAACACACTTCCAATCTTCCAATCTTCCAATCTTCCGATCAACCCTTCATATCCAAAACTAACTTTAGACACCATAGTGCCACGCCTTCGCCGCAGGCTACGACCTCCGCGCACCGGAAGCCTTCGAAGATACCATGTCCAAATTCAACAGCATCGTCGGCGCCGAATACCTCAAAGCCTTCCACATCAACGACTCCAAAGCACCCTTCGACTCCCACCGCGACCTACACGCCAACATCGGCACCGGCTTCCTCGGTCTGCGCGCCTTCCACAACGTCATGAACCACGACGCCTTCCAGGGCATGCCCATGGTCCTCGAGACCCCTATCGACCGCAAGGGCCCCGACGGCAAGACCGTCGAGGACAAGCAGATCTGGGCCGACGAGATCAAGCTGCTCGAAAGCCTCATCGGCATGGACCCCGAGAGCGACGAGTTCAAGGCTCTCGACAAGCGACTCCAAGCCAAGGGCGCTAGTGAGCGTAGCAAGATCCAGGATCAGGTCGATCGCAAGAGCGTCAAGGATACGAAAAAGGCTGTTCTCTCCGCTAGGCGCAAGGGGAAAGCCTCAGCTGAGGAGGAGGATTCTACATAAAGCACCAAGTGGTTTGTCTCAATTATACTAGGTTTAGGGTCTGAACACTCTTTGTAAAGGACATTATTGTATTGATCTGGAAAACTGCAAGGCGCATTGGGTATGTAATGTAGGTAAGCATGTAAAACAAGTAATTCTACGCGCACGCAACGCAACGCGGTGGTGTGAGAGTACCTAAGGTAGGCAGGCAGTTTTAGTTCAATAAGAACCGAACCAATTCTATCCGCTGCCATTTCGTATCGTATAAAGTCATAAAGGGGGAATATAGCCGCTCGCCCGCCCTTCCCATCCGCGCTTCGGAAACGGAGACGGAATCGGAATTCTATCCAGTAACGCCCTGGTGATGATGATGATGATGATGATGATGATGATGATGCAAAGTCGTCGTGCAAGCGTTAGTAAAACTCATCGTCGTCGCTCCATCCTCCGTCGCTCTATCCTTCATCCCTTCCAATACGTAAAAAAAAAAATGAAATAAAATAAAATGAAACCCGAATAAAAAGGGGCACAAGCTCAAGCAACGAGTCAGTGTCTCCGACTCCTCGCCATCCCCTCCACCCTAGCCATCAGCCCCCTCAGCCCAACGCCCTTCTCGCAATTCATCTCCAGCCACCTCTCCATGCGCTCCCGTACCCTCCTCAGGCCCCTCGTGACCGGCATGCGGCACGCCTCCTCCGCCTCGACGTGCGCGCCGGGGTTGAGCAGCAGGTCGAAGCACTCGGCCCAGATGTCCGTCTGCCAGTACCTCTTGAGGGGGTCGCGGACCTTGTACCTGCGGGCCGCGGCCGTGCACAGCCCGCGCTCGCCCGAGTCCGCGCGCGTCGTCTCGATGTACTTGCCGAACAGCAGCGTGTGGATCGTCCCCGCCAGCCCGTGGTAGTCGAGCTGCCAGGTCCACGGGCGGCCCTCGCGCACCTCGGCGCAGTCGTGCTGGTCTGCGCGCCAGTCCGCCACGAATTGCACGTCCGGCTCGAATGCGCGCATGTCGATGCCGCGCCCGAAATCAATCAGCACCACGCCGCGCGCGTCCCAGCCGGCGGACCCGTCTGCGCGCCAGGGGCCCGAGGGCGGGGCCGTGTCGTCGAGGCGGAGCAGGCAGTTGTCGGGCTTGAGGTCGCCGTGCATGATTTGCTTGGAGTGCAAAGCTTCGACGGTGCGCAGGAGCTCGATGCTAAAGAACATGGCGAGGGGCTCGTCCATGGGGCCTTTGGATGCCTCGCAGAAGAAGTTGACTACGTCGAGGAGTGTGCCGTGTTGATGGAATGGTAAGAATAAGAATCCCTCGTCTTGGTATAGGTGAAGTTCGTGCGCGGCCGAGATGGAGGCTGTGGCGCGGTGGTGCGGTCCTAAGCGTGAAGCTGAGAGTCGCATCATGTGGAATTCCCAAGCCGTAGGCGGGTGCTCCATCTTCAGAGCCTCAAGGGTAGCGCGGCGGGACGTAGCAAAAACGCCTTTGCCCATGGCGACGGGAGCGTTTTCGTCGTTTTCGCCATCTTCCGGTGACGAGTTCTCAACGAGATAGACAGGGGCGAATGCGCCAGCACCTAACTCCCGCTTCACAGTGTATTCGCCCATGATTTCGGGGAACTCGAGGATAACCGGAGTGTGAATAGTACCGGTCTTTTCACTATCCCTCTTGCTTCCCGACTTTGCTACGGCTTTGACGAACTTGCGGATTTCAGCACCCTTGTCGCATCGCTCGGTCCGGTGATCATAGAATCCAGAATACGAGCTCAGTGATGGGCGCATATGTGTAAGAATTTCCTCTCGAATAGCCGTATCAACAGGGTTGCACATGGGCTCCTTAATAATTGGTCCCTTCTGCACCTCCTTTGCCTTCCCTTGGCTAGGGGGAGTTGCAGTTGCCGTCGTCTTGAGCTTTTTAAGAAGAGGTTGTGCGATCTTGGGGGGGGATCGACGCTCACTAAGAACTTCCCGTAGAGGACTACTCAGCGGTTCGAAGTCTTCGTCGTCTTCCTCATCCTCATCTCCATCCTCCTCCGCTAAGTCGATATGGCCGTTTGGAGTCTTCGTACCGTCGTAACGCGGTTTTGCTCCCGTAATTAGACCAAGAGAAGATTCTGTACGTTCCGTGATAGGCGTCATGAACGGGAGGCGGTTGTTAGCCACCTCGGCCGGATCCCTATACGGCCGCGTAGGTGCCTCGTAATCTTCAGGTGGTATAGGAATAAATCTTGTCCTTGGAGGAGAGTCTTCTGGTGTGCCAGCACCGTCCTCTCGGGGATCCTTGGTATCAATAAGGTCCGACATCTCCGAATCGCTTTGCTCTCCTTCCTCCTCTTCCTCCTCCTCCTCGTTATCGCTCCTGCTGTCTAATTTCGGGATGTGCTTCTGCACCGTGAACTCGGACCATTCGCTCACGCTCCTGTCATCAGGTATCTCGTCGTCGTCACCAGCCTCACTAGTCGAAATTCGTCTAGTAGTATTAACGCTCTCTCCACCACTAGTATAATCGTCGTCTGTCGTGTACTCTTCCTCTTCGCTCTCTTCCGCTTCGTCCTCTTGAGCAGGCTTGAGAGGAGCGTTGAAGATATCATAAATATCATCAGTTGCCGCTCTCGTGTGCATTGTCATAGTAGGCTCGGAATTTGCAGCGTTGTTGTTGTTGTTCTTCTTCTTCTTTATTTTTGGCCCTGAAGGCGAGTCTAGTTTTGCTTTGACTGCGAAAGAATTAGCAATCTTGTTCTTTGATTTGTAGAGTAAACAAAGATTATTGGGTAGGTGCGGGATGAACTGACTGATTTGGGTCTCGTTATACTCCATCACTTTCTTCTTTTTGCTTTTTGCAGGCCGTGAGCTTTCCTTGACTGCCCCGTTCTCGTCCAACTCTACCACATCTTGGTGAACTACTAACTTCTCCGCGACCTGATTACTGAGCATATCTACTTCCGAGCCTTGTCCAAGAGTCTGTTCTTGCAGTTCGTCTGCGAAGCTGTCGTCCTCCCACGACACATCGAGCCAACCTTGGTTCGCAGCCCAAAGTTCTTCGAAAGAAAGTTCGGTTCCGGGCTCCTCCGGAGTTGGATAAATAGCATTTAGGTTAACAAAGACACGCTCTCTTTTCCCGCTTTGAGAGTTCACGATTACTTGATGCTTAGACGGGGCAATGACAATATGGGAGTCTGCTATTCTAGACAAAGACTAAATATATACAATCGCGCAATCGCCATAAATTAGTCCTGTTTCCATCAACAAATGGGCATTGCCGCATAGGGATGGAAGTTTTAACTTACAGGATCCCGAAATATAGCCATCTTCGGACCATTGCTCTTCTTCACCTGCGTCGTCAACGTTTCTCCCGCCCAAGGCTTGGCTTCCACCATATTTTCCTTCTTACGGTCCCCCAATGATCCTATTGTATCCCACCCCTTGGAACCCTCTCCCATCTTTGACATGGCGCTGGGCTCAGCATCAGCATCTGAGAATATTGTGAGCTTAGCCTTTGAAGACTTTGAAGATTGACCGCCGACGCCCATGTTTGGTCTCGGAGCTTGAGGGTCGGCTGGCCGTGCCGGAGCAGCGAAGGGATCGATCTTGGCTACTAGTGCAGGTCGGACTGTAGGTATTGCTGGCGATGACGGGGTATTTCCCGAGTCGGGTTGTTGTGCTCGTCTTTGTTCAAATTCGCCGAATTTGCGAACTAATCTTTGCACTGGTCTCGCATCTCGCTCAATACCCAGCTTATATACTTCCTCAGCTTGCGCCCAGCGCTCTGCGCTCTCCAGCCAGGCAGCGTACTCCTCATAGAACAGGGCTAGTCCTTCGCCAATGCTATGGCGTGATAAGAAGACGTAAGTTTCCCTAGGAGAGTCGGAGAAGAATCTGATATATTGAAGCCACAGCTTTAGATATCTCGGATCATTCTTGTACTGGGCTGATCCGATGAAAGTTTTGGTGGCGCGTTCCAATAGAGTGTGCAGTTGTGATTGGGGCGTGGCTTGCGCTGATGGATATGCGTCAAAGGTCCAGCGAACATATCGGTCGAAGACATCGAGAGGATCGTCCGACTCGGAAATGTTTTCGATCTCGGCCTCGTACTCGGCCCTGATGCAATCGTTGATGTTCTTGGTATCCGACGGTGTAGGTGTCGAAAGTTTGTGTAAAGGCTGCAAAGGGGAAGGCGAAAAGGCTTCAACAAGCTTCTTTGCCGACCGTCCCCCGGGCAAGGATTGAATATTTTCCTTCTGCCCCTCGATTATATCAAAGTCGATGAGATCGCCGGCAGCCATTTTGGTACTGAGATTAGAAAATGGCGATAATGGCGATAATGGCAAGCCTCGGTTGAAAGAACCTGTGTCGTTAGTATTACTTGATGTTGTACAGAATTGAGAAGATCAACCTGCGAAGACAATGTGGAGTAATCAATCTAATAAATAAATCAATCAATCAATTAGAGTTATTCCTTATCGCTTGTTGACTGTTTTGATTTAAGGTTAGGTTAATTGCCATCGTTGCTCTGACAACGATAAAATGTGGGGTTATATCCCGGTAATTGAATTAAGCGAACAATAAAAATCCACTACCTCAATACTATGTAAGTACCCAGGTACCCCTTCAGCATTACATTAAGTTATGATGTAGGTACCTAGGTACCTAGGTAACTTCATCTCCCCAACTCAACCACTCTCGATAGTATAGTCTTCAAGCCACCATCGGCCAGAACGACTCTTCCAGCACCAAGACTTTCTTGAAGATTACCATAGAACCTGCCGCGATGACTTCTTCCGTATCCTCATCCTGACTAGCAGCATAAGCATCCAGGCACTCCTGACACTCCTTCACAAAAGCTTGGAACTCCTCAGAGGTCCAGTTGGGGATAAACTCCTTTCTTAAGGCACCGCCGTCGAGATCCTCCTTCGTATCTGCATTCTCCGAAGCCTGCTGCTTTGCGTAGGTCCAGGAGTCCAGATACACCTTCTCCGTAGTCCAGAGCACTACCAGCCCATCTAAGAGAGTCTTGGACAAATCTCCGTTGGGTCTCGCCGAGAATGAGTCGAACATGTCGATGTAGTTCTTCGTCACTTTATTAGGTCCGAATTTGGCCGATATATGTGATAGGTTACTTCCTCCCGCCACAGGTCCGAGAGCTTCGAGGTCCAGCCCGTATTTCTTAGCAGTCTCTTCGAAAAACTTTAGTTCCCTCATGACTCCAGACATAGCAGTCTGCAGTAATGACAAGATTCGCCATTGAAGCGTCTTTGAGGCGCCCTGCCCATCTACCTTGGTCGGTAGCTGAACGCGGGATATTAGCCCTCCCGCAAAGCGAATATAAGCTTGGGCATAGAGCCGATCTTGGGATAACCACTGGCAGAGCACGTCTGGGGGAAGTTGGCCCTGACCAGCAAGGCTGAGGAACTGCGTTCGCGTAGCTCGTTCATAGAGATCGCTTATACCAGGACCCGAAAGCAGATATTCTGACATGGATTGTTTAGCCATGACGATTCAGCGTGGCTTTAACAAGTGTTTGCTTTGCTAAAGATTTAAAAGCTAGAAGGCAAACGACTTGAGCAATTAGCAGTAGATGCTTTTATACAGCACTCGACGTGCAACTGTTCGGAAACTTACCTACGATACATTGGTTCAAACAGTAAAGGTTACGTAGATATGCAATCATTCTACGCTAACGTTCCATTGAAGAAAACATTGATCTTCGGCAAAACCTTGGCTTTATAGCTTTATTGGTTTATATAGATATGAGTCATCATTTCATAGCTATTCATCTAAACTAGCAGAGGTGTAAAGAACAGAATAAATAAATCGTATATTCCAAGGAAAACACTAGGTTAGTTCGAAATACGAAAACAAGCTTGCACGAATTTATGACAAATGCTGGGCATAATCTACAAGTAAATCATTGCCATTTACTTACTACCTAAGGATGGCGGGATTTAAAATAGTTAGCAAATCATCCGTTCTAACTACATTCACTCACTTCTACCTTCTACTCGAGAACGCAACCTACCTACTAGGTTACCTAGGTAGGTACCTAATGCATAGTGGTTTAGGTAGTCTATAGGTTCACATTTCAGTCCATAAATCGTAACGATTATTATTGTTATCGTTCTAATGAATGATGAACACGTGTATCGGCCTTAAGTCCGATAGTGCTATAAATTCACCTTATTAGTGCACTACTCCCATCGCGCACGTCTGTTGTTGTACAGTTCGCAACCTATAGATTCCTGCAATATCTCAAATCGACCTATCCGTGGGTCGTATTCTCGATATGTCGAGTTGCTACACCTAAGGGTAAAAAGGTAGCACAAGCCCCCTTTCCGTCATTACCATGCTCCTACTTCAAAATTCTCCTATATATCACGAGTTAGAGCTGACCAATTGTCTTGGGGAAAAGGGAGGGCTTACCTCTGGGAAATACGTCGTTACGACTGTACGGTCAGCAAACTTTCGGCCTGCAAGGGCTCGCAGAGCGTTCTTCGCTGACTCGGTTGTATCATATTTAACATAAATCTTCCCAACTCCCGCGGATTGTCGACTGCCACCAGTAGGTCGCGGTACTTTGATATCCAGCACATGGCCAAACTTGGAGCATTCCTCATGGACATCCTCGCATATTTCTATTTAAAATTAGCGCGCTCAGATATACAAAATGGAACAGGGCATTTACCTTGATAATCGTCGTTGTCCATTAATTCCTCCGGTGTCACCATGTTGAGTAACTGCAGCACTCGAGACTCCTCTGAGTCGTTTGCAGTGGTGCCTGCGAGCATAGACATAGCGTTGACACCCATCTCAACACCAGCTACTTGGGTGATTCCTATGCTAGCTTTTCGCACTTTGAGATTCTTGTCGCCAATAAGCATATTATTTAGACCCTGGATCGCTATGTCCGTCGCAGCAGGATCTACGAATTCGCAGAATGCGATGCCCTACTACATGTTAGTTCTTAAAAGCCTAAATAATTTGATACTTCGCGCATGACTTACGCGAGATTCTTCGGTTCCTGTATCCTTGACCAAGGCCAACGCTTTAAGTTCACCAAATGAGGTCAGAAGTTCCATAACTTGTTCCTCGTTGAGATAGGGGGGCAAGTTTGTAATGCTAATCTTGTTGGGGGTATCAATGACGACGTTAGAAACGACACCAAGCTTATATGGGGTCTCTTCGGCAACGGCAGGCACAATATAGTCCTTTGGTCGTTGTATTTTTAAGCCATGCCCGCTCCCATTAGCCGAACCGTTCGTAGCATCATCAGGCTCCATCGAGATACCATCGAGAGCAAGAGCAACAGTAGCTTCAGAAGCGTGTCTAAATTCAAGAAGGGCGAATGACTGATCCTTGGAGATTTGGCATAGAACACAGGGATCGGTGCTCTCGACAACATTGAGGCCGTTTAACTGAAGGTTAAAGAAGCCCATGATACTCTCCTCGGTCGAACCTGGAGGAATGTTGTACGCGATAAGTCTCTTGCTCTGTCGGGAATTGCCTGGTTTCAATGCCGCGCTGTTCACCGTTCCGCCTGGTTGGTTCATAAAAGCCTGTAGCTTCGTAGGATCCATGGGTTGTTGTCTAGGCGCCCCAGGGAGAGGGAACATTCCGGATAGCTTAGCTTGTTCAGCAGTAACATTCTCGTAGCCGGGGGGTTTGATGTCCCATTGCGTCATACGTCGTTTGCGCTCTAGAACAGGAACAATGTCGGTCAGATCTGGTGTCGGCTCCCGCTTCTTAGGTGGCGGTGTTGGACTACGCCCTCGTCGATTTTGCGCGAAGAGGTCTTCATCTCGCATCCGATCAATCCTTTCGCGATCCCGTCTATCGCCGCCGGCACCAGCACCAGCACCGGCACCGGCAGCACCACCACCACCACGCCTCTCTTCGAACAAGTCGCGGTCGCGTCGAGGTGGCCGTGCAACCTCCTCGCGACGACTATCTCTCCTCGAGCCCCGGTCGCGATCCCATTCTCGGTCTCTACGATCTCGACCGCCTCCGTATCGATCTTCGCGCTCACGGTCTCGATGGCTTCGACTGGAAGCATAAGCATCCTCATCCCTTGCATCACGATGCGACCGACGAGGTGATCTACTTCGTCTTCGGTCTCGTCGATCACCTCTGTCCCGGCGGTCGTCGCGAGGATAATCCCGAGACGAGCCATGACGGGCGTCTAAATTTAATGATTCTGTTAGCTCCCCTTCAATCGAAACAATAGAAAATGGAGATAATCACTCCATACCTCGAGAAGAATAGCTGTCGCCGTTCATAGTATCGACTTAGTCTCCTATGTATGTATGCAGTTCGAGATAAATAGGAGATGAATATTTGTTAGTCGGGAATGAAAAGGGCGACAAAACAAGGCAGGGTAATTGAAAGAAATATGAAGCTGTAATTGCATGGCGGTAGGATGAAGCTGTTGACAGTGGAGCTGCAGCGCGGCTGGAAAATAGAAATTTTGGCTGGCCCAGAGTGGAGCGCAGCACTTGTGACTAATCCATACTAAGGTTAGCGGGCTTAGATTTAGCAGATAATAGGCCCCGCTTTCCTTTTTAGGGATCTTTTGATAAAGATGAAGGGCAATCAGGAGGCGAAACGAAACGCTGAAGTCCCTACAATAACTTGCATTAGACAACTTTTAACGTCAACCTGTCTTAGTGAATATTATAAGAGTTACAATATATACCTTACATAGGTATACAATTCTAGCCTATAATTCCCACCCATAAACTCGGTAGATAACTCCTATCATATCGTCTATTTCCCTAATACATGGCTCCTATACGGGTATCAGAATGGCGGAAGCTCCCCCTAAATTTAACTGACCTCTGCATCGAGACAACTCTTCGTTGTGGGCAATCTTTCCGATGGCGTAAAATAGATGATGAATGGTATGTTAACTCATAACCGAGTGCCTCATTTAGTATTAACATATCATCAGGAATTGCGTCCTTTATGGACGACTGCTCTCATTAAAGCAGGATAAACATCATCTTCACTACAAAGTAGTTTCATCAACGGCTATTCCATCAGCGTTAACGCCTCCATTATCCACCAAAGATGAACAAGACACCATCAACTATGATGATACTGAAGCTCTTCTTAGACACTATTTCAGTTTAAAGCATGACTGTAAGTGCATCTCAAATTTAAAGACAACTTATGTCTTGGTACCATCAAGAGCATATGAGTGTCACCCATTTCCAATAATACGGTAACGGAACTAGCCGTTGTGTAAAACTTGATATTAACAATTCTCAATTGTTCATCTACTAATTCGAAATAATATAGCTGCCGCGCTATATGACCAATGGTCGAAGTCCGATCCTAACTTCCGGAAGAAAGCATCAAAGTTCATGGGGATTAGAATTCTAAGCCAAGATCCATGGGAAGCGCTGATCGCATTCATTTGCAGTAGTAACAACAATATTTCACGTATTTCTCAGATGGTATATCACATTACAGTCTCTGTATACTATAGTAGGATATCAACCATACTAATACCGTACAGGTCCATAAACTTTGTATACACTACGGCCCGCTAGTTGGACACATCGGAGATGAGGCCTTTCACGATTTTCCAACACCCCAGGCACTTAGCGGAAAGAAGGTAGATGCTCATCTCAGGGAATTAGGGTTTGGCTACAGAGCTAAGTTTATTGCCGAAACAGCCCGTTTAATCTGTGAGGAGAAACCAGAGGGCTGGCTTGAAAGCCTCATAAACCCCGAAAATCCTGGCTGGTCTAAATTAACTCTACCTAAAGCCACGGAGGTGACCACATACAGGCATGCCCATGAGCAGCTTCTCCTTCTCCCAGGGGTTGGTCCAAAAGTATCGGACTGTGTCTGTTTAATGGGCTTGGGCTGGGGAGAAGCAGTTCCCGTGGATACACATGTATGGCAAATTGCACAGAGGGATTACAAATTCGGCAAGGCCAAAACGAAGACCTTCTCCAAGGCAATGTATGACTCTGTCGGTGATCATTTTCGGAAGATCTGGGGTCCTCAGGCGGGATGGGCCCAGTCGGTACTTTTCACCGCGAACCTAAAGTCATTCTCAGAGCAGGCAACCGGCAGGGTCGAAGTTGTTGATGTCAAAGTGAAGGTGGAGGAAGTTGGAGACACTACGGCCGATGAACCCCCAGTCCGTACCCGGAAAAGACGCCGAGTAGTAGCCGAGGCAGTGAAGGTTGAAAGCAATACCTCCACAGAATCAGTACGAACTAGCAAGAGGGTGAGGAGAACTAGAGGTTAATTCCGAGCAATCACGTTCAAAATATTTCATCGTCTTTGCCAAACTCCTCTCGCATCGTAGAAACAAAAGCTCTACAGCAGCTTTTTGCTCACTTTGTTATACTTTGTTCCGTATATAACCCCGTTTCTCTTGTCAATAATCCAACCAGAGTTTAGATCTAGAAGTATAGGTAGACATATATCCCAGGATTTGAATCGCGACGTCTAGTAATATCAATCATTAGGGGTATTGATATTATCTATTATGCAGTAATATAAGTAGCCTGGCCTAGACCAATGTTCATAAAGCTTTCTCATCATATCTAGAGACCCGCCATTTTTAGTGCTGATATCCTTCTCATCCCTTCTCAGCTCCTTATCAAAGTGAGGGTAGAAGCTATCCAAGGAGAATGCGTCATACTCCCTCGGACTGCCAAATATTCATATGTCCTTCCATAGCTTCCTTCTGAGGGGGTCACTTGTCATCTCTCGAATAGCAGACAGTAGAGGGGGTAGTACAGTCTATGTCATATTCTCATCTTATTCTTATATCACGCCTAGTTTAAGAGCAACATGACATTCGATGAGGTTGGGATAGACAAACACCGAACACTCGAAAGGAATCAGACACCACTAAGTTCTCATCCCTCAAATTGCGAAGCACTATGCTGCCAATTCAGCTCCGCCTTGAGTTCCCCAATCAAGACTTCCTCCTCCTCCACGCTTTCTGCCCCCCGCTCCCAGATGTCTCTCTTACTATCTTGTCCCTCCCGACTAACCGCATCAAAAAACACTACACCCAGACCAACCTCTCACCTCGTCCCATCCTCCACCACTCACTCCTCCCGCCCTTTCCTCACGATAACCAACGCCCTCCGCCAATCGCAGCCCCCGAGGTCACATCGTTGGATATACCAGTCCTTACCCTCGACCCGGGAAGCAATCTCCCGTCTTTGGTGCTCCACGCAGGCAGCCACTACTTCTCCCTCCGGCTCCAAGAACGGCATCCCATACACGTCCAACCGATCGTACTCGGCAGGGTCTCTGCCCTGGTGGCGCTCAGCAAGAATACCCGTCTCTAGAGCCCGGGCAGCCGCTTCCAGACGTGCGGGGTCGCCAGCATCGGGAGCCGTGCAGTACACCTGGAGCGAGGGGCGGGGATGCTGCGAGCCAGAGAGCGAGTTCATCGGGCGACGCCATGTAGACGGCGAGAAGACGCCGACGAGAGGTATAGACGGGCCGCTGTGGGAGACGTGGTGTGTGATGTTGATAGGAGGAGGAATATCGTCTACGCGAAGCTGCGCGGTGCCACCGAGGGATTTGGGCATTTACGATATCTTATATATCAATCTCTAGGACACTTTTGCTTGAGATTCTGCCTTGAAGCCGTCACGATCAGGTCGGTGCAATTGTATGTCACTGTGGAGGACGAGTTAATAGAGATTCGGTTTAAAACTTTCTATACTGAATCTTTAGAACATACCTATGTTCTCGATTTTATTTACTTCGCTAGGGGAAAATGTTATATATCCTTTTGGACATACGGTTTCTTTACGGGAAAACTTTGCAAGATAAACGCTTCGCTCTTCGTTCATATTGTCGCGCGCATACCTAAACACATGTATAAGACTCGACCCTCAGTATTCATCTTCTGCTCCGGTCTTCTCATTACGTCGTTACCACCAGACCACCCCTTTATAGTCTCAAGATGCCACAACCGGGATGGCCAGTCAGCGAGTCGATCTGGGTTCCTAAGAGTTCGAGGTTCAAACGCAAGCTATCGCATAAGTCTATCTAGTGCCAAACAGGTTCCATTTCTTGGCTCTTAAGTGAAAGTCCCATCCAAGAATTTCAGAGCCAATCATAAGAACTTGGAGTTTCAACCCCCTTGTTTTAGGATAGACAAATAAAGGGGCTACCGCTACTGTATAGAGAATTAGCATTGGTACATACGTACGAAGAATGCATGCCGTTCCTCAGGCTTAGATAGCTAGAGAAGTTCATGCATCATTAAATGTCTACAAAAATGAGTCAACTACGTATAAATCTCGCCTACTCTTATTCGTATTCTAAGCTGGCCTGAAATAATGGGCCCGTTAGCTACAGTATATCTTTAGTTATTGTGTCTCGGTGCACCTGGTGCTTTATATCCTCAGCCGCGTTTCTTAAGAATACGGCGTGGCCGCACTATAGAACGACCTAGGGTCAAGTCATCGTCCTCGTTAATGTAAGAATGAAGGGGTTATATGCCTCGTAGTGGGATTAATGGTCCATATTCACTGCAGCTAGTAAAATAAACAGTGTACAGCTAAGGCGATCCTTTACTATGTCGGATATATATAACGTGCATCTATAAAACAAATGAAGGCACCATTATTACCACCAAAAGTTATGCGTAGAGCAGCGCTTTTGCCAGTATGACGAAGCCAAGATGAATTCAACAATACAGACATTCCTGTCTCTCACTGCTAGAACAACTACGCACGCGCAACATGTCTCCAGAGACCTACGTCAACAGCACAAAAGACCCCGACATAGATCCTTTATTCAAAACACCCTCTGGGGCTGAAGTAACGCACCGGCCAGGCTCCGTAGGACCGGGACATCGGGAATCGTACGACGTTGCATACATTTAGCCGCAAGGTCTCAGCCGACAGCGGGCAATATCATAGACCCGGATTCGTCGTCGCCCTAACCCGGATATCCAGAGCACAGGACCTAGGTTATATGCTTCCCAAGCTCGTATTCGCTACTGTGACAGTGCCCGGTGGTGGGGAGAGCCACCACGCTTTAGACCATCATAATTGACATTTCTGAATACAAGCGGTTCGCCTTCGCATCTTGAAACGTTACGTCTGGCTTCCTAGAATGCGACCCGGGGCGCGTATGTCAACTTATGATAGACTCTTTAATATTCGTAATCCGTGTTGCGTCAATATGCTATATTAACGCTAAGAGCACATTTCCCAAAAGGTCCTGACAATTATAACTCTTACCCACTATAATGTTTAAAGCTCTAATCTAAGTCTTATAGTATGTGAGTCTTACTATAAATGTCCTTATGGTAAACTTATGTCTTTGTTGATTGGCTAGTGTAACAATAGATGCTATAGAGTTATCCGGAAACCATACATAACGGTGTCTTCAAGGGAAGCTTCCCCCTTGTCAAGCGCGAGGATAGAGGTAATCTACGAAGGCATAACACATAGTAAACACATAGTAACTACGTCGATCTGCAATATAAGTAAATCTCCGAGGTCTTTCAGTCTCCACGTTTTATTTACCAATAGCACTGCGTATTTCGTAGAAGCTGGGTCACCTACATACATAGGTGTATTGCTTTGCTTGTATCCTACCATCGCTGTCTATGGTTGCAACTGTGCCTAGCTCATCAATGCTTTGATTTAATGGATCCATTGATGTTAGAGATGAATTTTCGTGTTTTCCATATGCATGGATGGTACACTGCCACATCCTGCAATCGAAGAAATGCTCGTGACGATAGTTTTTAGCAAGTAAAGACATCGCGTCAACTATTCCTAGAACGATATATTAATTATCACCTTCTTAGTAGAGGCTTGGAGCGTCTATTATCTTGGGTTACTTTGAACGTGTTACGATGTTGATCCTTACTCGTGAAATCGACCGACTTGGTGAGATTAGGGGATAGTTAACTCTCAAGACCTAGTAACTCCGTCTTCACATCTACGTAACTAAGAATCCTGGTTATCCATGATTTGTGGTTAGATTTAATAGGGGAATTGCTAAAACAATAGAAAACTAGCTGTCAGTACGAGTCACTAAGGAGGCTCTTGAAGAGGATTGTTTATTGCCTATTGTCATACAGGGTTGCGCGACAGGAGATTACCTATGCATGCACGTCCAATTACGGTCCATACCTTTCTGAAGCGGTGGACATTTTTACCTTTCACTACATCAACATTCTCCTATTTCAGTAACAATGATCAAATACTTAACTCTCGAATGCTACATAGCCCCAGCGATTTCGGAACGGCCGACAGCTGAGAGAGAACTGCATGGATTCTTATCTGTGCAAAGCTAACATATATATATATACATGGAATAGTAGGAAGTGGACCGTTATGAGGTGCTTGTTGTCAGTAATAGCCCATATCTCCTTCGCGCAGGAAGGCTGGACTTATGCGTCGTGAATTTAGTTAAGGAGTCTATCAGGAGTGGTAAAATCGCGCCAAAGAGCAAAAAGGTATGTTCCCGTTCATGCCTGTGTCCCTACAAGATAGGGGCGATAGAGCTATAGTTCGGGGTGACCTTGAGCCCATAGTTGGGGAAGGCAATGTTCACGAACACAACTGTCACAATTATTCGTCCCCTTTCGGAGTATTTGCGGCCAATATTCACTGCAGAGGAAATAAGTCGTAGTCAGCTACGTCGAGCTCGAAGTGGTCACAACGATGAGGAACAACACGAACACCATGCACAACCAATGGCGGTGCCACGAAGTCCGGGGATGCTGAGGCCATGTTTAAACTTTAAATTATCCACATTATTTCCCCATGAACTCATAGCCTATGCATAGCAGCCCTATCATCGTGGATGTCTCGGGGAGATGGTATGACTTGGCCGTATGTGCTAGGTGAGCTGACTGTCGATGGTCTATGCCCGCTGGTCGCTGGAAAAGTCTCCGCCGACTGCATGTCCTTGTAAGCCCGAATGCAATAGGCTGTCTTGGCTTAAGTCCTATCTAATATAAAGCAATATCATTGGAGGGTGCTGTTTGGCTGCAAGCCTCATAGGCCATTTTTATGTCCGAGCCATATGTCGTAGGCCGAGCTGGGACAAGTACTCACTTATGCACTATCTTACGATACATTGGCTTAACTAACTAAAGCTCGCCTTGATGAATCCGAAATGAAGAAAAAAATGAGGAAGCCTCAAATAGCCGGAATAGCTGAGCTGGCTGGGCTATCTAGTGTGTCTGCAATAAGGCTCCGCATGGCATATATTGAATCCTTGAGCTAAATATTAGTGCGTTGGTGTTGGGGAAAGGCTTACAGGAAATTTGCTAATGCCACCCTCGTCGGCTTTGGTCGGCGACTAATCTCTAATTACTCCTTTGTCCCCTCAGCAGCCGGCTTCGGCAGCGTGGGTGCGTTGGCTAGCTCACTCGACACGAAGCCGTACTAGTTCTATCACATTTTGGTGTGCAGCTTTTTAAGCGGTCATGGAGTACGTAAATGTAGTTTTCTCGAAGGGTATTCTTCTAGGCTGCCCCTTCGTAGTAAGCGTGGTGCCAAGACGAGGCAAGTCTACCGGATCCTTGAATACCACTGTACTGCCGTATGGGCAAGCGTTGGATTAATAGTAGGCCTGGAAGCCCGGTATTAACGATCCGTCTAGGTCTTGAGATCTCTTCGTCTGCCCAAGATCTCTTCGTTTGCCCCTTCTTTAGTTGCAGCAAAAAAAGAAAACAAGTAGTTGCCGGAGCTGGGCCTGAGGATAACGAACCCCCTCTCTAAAGCGCCAGCGTAACTGATAATGGGGCTTGCTCTCTCATGATATTTTGTCGGGTAAGGCATGTAATAGAATCCTGTGCTAGAGACCAAAGTTGCATGGTTGCTGAGATGCAGATGGAGGTGCAAGGGGGGTCCTGCGGTAAGGTTGCGCTAGAGACACCGTCTCTTATAAGATCTCTAGGAATGGATATGATCGTCGACTATCTGCCAGACAAACAGCCGGGGTCGAAGTTGTATTGCCAATGCGACTTTTGGGGAATGCCAGTCGAATTTCTACATGAAACACACCCATGCTGCTTGGCCATCCCTGAGTCTTCTCTGACTGGACAGTTTATATGTCCCGGCGCTGGTGAAAGTGGACGTTAATATCTCCTGCGTAATTTGGAGATAGAAATCATTATTGGCAATCTGTCTAGTCAATAACACCAAGCTTCTAGAAAGAAGAAAAATGACCGTGCTTCCCTATGAATCCAACGACTAAAGGAAACACAAGACGGGACTGGGACGTTGTGGTATGTGTATGTGTCCATGTTTATGGGAAGTTAGGTAAGGTTCCAACTTGCCAGAGATTGCCCGATCTATGTATTTTGAGGGGTTCAACACGGTACCTGAGTTAAGTACCTCCTTATACCTCCCTATATCACATGTATACATGTACCTACCTACATGTACATACCTACTTCAACGCAACATTGAACTTAAATGTTTAGACTCGTATGACGGCAACTGTAAATGGCAATTCCGATATTTGAAACATACTACGAATCTACCGTTGATACCCAGAAAGCGGGAAAGTGAGCTTTGTGGTTCTGGGAAGTGCCGTTGACACATTC